CAGTTTCACTGCATGGCATTTGGGAGGAAAAAAAACCCAAAACGATTCTACAATTTCATTAGGAAGCAACAGCAAAGAAAAAAATCATTTTACAATACAACTTCTTGCTCATTCTCTACCTCCTGAATTCAATACTGGAGCATGTACTGATACAAAGCTCCTATTTTCACTTGGTCTGTAGGAGAGGGTTTAAAAGGCCTTGTTGACTGAACATGCTAGAAACAAAACCATGGGAAATTGAAAGCATTATGACAGCTCTTTGTTCAGAGTCCTTCAACACAAAAGAAAATTAAGCAGATGGATTCAAACCCATAAGCTCACAGAAAATGTTTTCAGATGGGACGAGTTAGCTTTGTGCCAGATACTTGTAAGCTGATATGCTCCAAGATACGCAAAGCATGGATAAAGAAAATCAAACCTTCGCCAAAAATCTAATACTATAATTTTCATAGACATATTAACTCAACCTGTGCTTCCCAGTCTTCATATATAAGACTATGCCAATTTTCTGTTGCCCCCCACAATCTATTCATAGCAAAGAACAAAACCACCATCATCCAAAACTTTATTAAAATTCCCATTCAGCTAAGCACCCTTTTATCCTAGTACTTGCCATTTGAATTCACTGCCAGTACACTTTTAAATGCTCTGTGCTGAGAGTAGCAAAGCTCTTGCATTTCAGAATGGCAAGACAGACTTCATAAAAGATTAACGTACTTGAAAGCAGGTAATTTATCAAAAGATCTTTTAAAATCTTGATTTCTTAAAAAGCAAAACTATCTATCCACCTCTGCATCTTGTCTGACAGCATTTGCATACACAGCTGTTCTCCAAATTTCAACCCTGTTCTTTTTTTCCCCTTCGTCATTTTTTAAAAGATATGAATAGCAGGTGTTTCAATAAACAGTTGCAATACTTCACCATGTGTCTCCTGCTTCCATACACTGATTTATCCTGTCTCCCACATGAACACACAGATACCCTTTTCCCGTACACACCATTGCGGTATTGGACCCTCAGCCCCAGGGCTGCATGAAACAGTAGCCTGGGGATTTTAGCTTTTAAACCTGAAACCTGTTCTTCTCTTGCTTGAGCTGAAGTCTCCCAAAACAGCCAGGTGAGGATGGACTTTGTTTCTCCTGGATCTTCCACTGCCCTCTTGTTTTATGAGTCTTTTTAGGCAGCTGGGAACTGAGCAGGCAGTGCAAGTGGCCTGGATGTCAGAGGTGAGAGACACACAGGTACTGTGGTACCAAACAGCAGAAGGTAAAGCAGTTAACTATTGCTTGGATAATGGGCCTGTATCATGTGGTGATAGGACAAGGCAATGGTTTTAAACTAGAGCAATGTAGGTTTAGATCAGACATTAGGAAGAAGTTCTTTACTATGAGGATGATGAGACACTGGAACAGGTTGCCCAGAGAAGTTGTAGATGCCTCGTCCCTGGAAGTGTTCAAGGCCAGGCTGGATGGGGCTTGAGCAACCTGCTCTAGTGGGAGGTATCTCTGGCCACGGCAGGGGGGTTGGAAATGGGTATTTTTAAGGTCCCTTCCAACCCATTCTACAATTCTTTTCACTGGAAGTTGTACCACCTTTGCACACTGCAGTCCTCAAACTGGTGTTTCATATGGAGCCAAAGAAATAGCAAGAGCCTGCATTGAGCGAGATATAGCAGAGAAATAAATACAGGCAATTTTGGACCAGTAGGCTGGTATTTCAAGATATGTTCGGCATCCTGCTCTTCATGAGTGTTTTCAATCTCTAATTCTTCCTGAAGAAACAACACTATTTCACTTTGCTATTTCACTTTGCCTGCAAATAGCATGGCGCACTGGAAAATGAAAAAAAAAATAATAATCCATGAAATAGATGACTATTTGTTGAGGACATGGCAGCTCAACTGTAGCCACTGAGTTACTCTTTTGGAAACAGGCTGCCATGAATGTGGGGGTTGTAGAACACAAGGCAAGTTGGGGGAAAGTTGCTTTGGAATTCAGAGGGATTAATGTAACTAAGGGATGAGGCTGCTTAAGAAAGGAGGCTAATTGAGGAGAACATGATGAACTTAGTGATATATTTTTAAGAAGATGAAAAAGCCAGACAAGGAATATGCAGAAAGTAAGAATGGAAGCTGGGAAAACTCAGAAAAGGCAAGACTCCAAGAAGGTGGAGAGGACTTGCAGTGCCAAAAGCGACTCCGAGAAGGTGGAGAAGACTTGCAGTGCCAAAAGCAGGAAACAATAATAGCACAGATATTATCACTCTCTTACTCTTGTCATAAGACCATCATGAAAATTACTTTAAATTTAGAAGAATGACATTTAAGAGACTCCAGTTTTTGTTACATAAATGATTGTTTTCCATGAAAATGAAAAAAAAATACCACTTATTATTACTGAGTTTTGATGGACAGCCACAACCAAACTTCTAAGTGAGCAAATATAAAAAATTTGCCTGAAAGTTGTTCATACCTACCAGGGAAAAACAGATGGTGTGGTGTAGATGTCTCAACTTCAGATTGCACTGCACCCCAAATGGCCAACATCTGAGTATTTTAGCAGCAACGTACTAACTGTAACAAATGCTAGGACACAGCTATTGATCACCACTTGGGCTTCCACGAAGAGAATACAAGGCATTTATGGGTTAATACTTGTGACTGAAATTTGCTTATTTAGAGGTTCACTTAACAGATGCCATCACCAGGAGATAAAAGTCCTTACACTGAACAGACAATTTTAATGGCCTTTCCCATTAAGTTATGGGTGATGTATTTCAAAGGGCAGACACTGGAGCCTTTCTGCTGACAGCAAGGAATGTCAGATGAATTCAGAGTATCAGTGAACATGCAGGCCTTGGTAACAACGACTTTTATATAGAGTTATACTACAATTAGGACAAAACACCTTGACCAATTTATTCTCTTGTACAGCACAAAGGGACCTTACACTAAATCTGCATTTATATTCATTGCTAAAATAGGCAATGGACCCTTAGTGTTCATGGGAACAAAGCTCCAGATGCTCTTATATTCTAAGTCGAATATGCTCAGCTACTGGTGTGGCAACATTAATCACATAAAACACCAGTTTTATAGCCTTGAAAAACCATCACCTCCCAGATTTATCAGTTTGACCACTCCACTTAATAAAAAGTTTCTGATGAACAAGTCAGCTCTGAATATAATATACTAAACATTATCATCCCATAATCAATAGCTATTGGGAAGACTCTTTTTAAGGTTTAGCTCCTTTGCTATTCTCCCACAGACTGAAATTATTCAGCTCTGTACTGCAGAGCTCCATTAAGCACTTTGTTTTTCATTGAATGACTGGAATCAAATGTGTATGGCCTCCACGGATGGATAAACTGCTGTAAAAAGAGATAAGTCAGCAATACTGATTGGCTCTGTTGTCTGAGCGTGCCTTTTGATTTTTGAGTTTCTGCCAAAAGCATCATCATTCTGTGTTTACCCTTCAAAAGCCCTCGGTCACTCAGATGGTGCACACTCGCAGCACAGCGCTCTCCCTTGCAGAAACAGCATTCTCAAAAAAGAAAATTTCGGTCCTTGTAGTTGTTGAATGTGAATTTATGACACAGACCCTGTACCTCCCATCTTTCACGACCCTGCTACTATGTAATACGAAGCGATTAAATGACCAGTTTTACTTTGCTGCCCACCTCTTTCACGCAAAGAAAAGGCATGTGAAGTCATACATTGTCACATCAAAGCGTACTTTGTCACATCATTTTCCTCTCCCTTTCCCTCCCCATCAAGTCAGAACAACAGAACCACCATAAACCTCTGTGGTGGTTTCTCGTGTGTGTGTGAATGTGACTTCATTTTAATTACTGAAAACATACTGTGTTGTGCTTCACTTCTGGGGCCAGGACTGTCGGCACTGGGCTCAGTCCTGGCTTTCACAGGATGCCACAGACTTGCATCTCCCTCCAGAGCTGCTGCTGCAGCAAGAGCTGTTGTTCAACCACAGATGCTTGCTGTGTGCTTTGCTCTCGAGTAAATGGCTGCTGGAGGCAGGAGGACTGTGACCAGAACAGTTTCCTGATGAGGTGTTTGAGTTGGTTACAGCTCCCTGCAAATTCAGCGTCTGGCACTCGGGAATCTCCTAAGGCAGAGACAAACAACGGACCCTCTCGACATGACGGGACTCTATGAATGGTCATTCCTGTTTGAAAAAAAACCCACATCAGACAGCAACGATTTGTTTTTTATACAAACATACAGGTAATGGCAAGACTACAAATAAATAGATCCTATTGGCATAAACTGCAACAACACAACAAATTAAGGCAATGGTTACCTGCTTGTTCAAGCCCTCGTGGAGATTTTGCAGTCTTGTGATTTCTATGACTGCAACCTCACCAGAGTTGTAAGTTCAGTTGACTGTCAAGGTCTGGGTCCTGTAAAGTCTTATTCACGTGCGTATTGTTAAGAAGCAAGACAGTGAAGTCAGAGTCTGTGCTGTGTCAAAGGTGCTGCTTAAGATCTTGGGTGAGGAAATGCTCTCTTACAGATAGCTCGCCAGCCCAAAGCCTTTGCGGCATTAAAAGGAAATGAATTTGATTTCTCAAGAGCCTCCGGCTTCCTAAGAAACCTTGGGAAACAAGTTCAGAATACTAGCATATGCTCTGATGCATTTTCTAGGTACAAAGGCTTCTTTATTACTGTTTTTTGGCTAAAACAGTTAAGATAGCATGGTTTATCATCATTTTTAAAACACTTGAGAGAGAACAATGTGAGTGCATTTTTATTTCAGTTTTAACTTCTTTATTTCATTGCTGTACAGTTGCATTACACTTGGCTTTAATCCCTTAAGCATTATTTTCCTTGGCAAAATAGTCACTGAACTGAGTAGAACTTACTATTGGAAAAATATGCTTGAAAAACCAGTGTGATGTCAATGCCAACTGAAACCCGTGGAGCTTAAAATGTCACAAATGTGCCTGTAGCTGAAATACATAGCTCCTCATTTTTTTGACTGAACTAGGAATGTTGTAAGTCTTAGGTTGTGAAGCCAACTGTAAAAACCAGAGAGTAGCCTCCTAAAACTGAATGTGTGCTTTTTTTTCCCCCCCATGAACAATCATTCGAAAAACAATTATATAAAACTTGATGTACGAAAATTTCATAGGCAACGAATGACTGCATGGCTCTGCTTCCAGTCTTGCCTGCATTAACTGTGGCTATCGGTAAGAAGTCGGGCTACAGGCTTCTTAGAGAAAAGACAGAACCTGTAAAACATGTTTGATATCCAAATATATAAATAAGCACTACTGAAGAATAATTCAGAAGACTGTGGTGATTCATTATGAACAGATGCTATATATGGGAACAGTAACATTGCTAGGTAAGGAAGAAGCAAGATATTTTAGGAGTCTTGAAAATCTCTTCTAGTTCTTCAGACAGATCATGCTGCTATAGTTACTTTCTAAAAAAAATATATATTCTGAAAAGCACTTCAGTAAAAGAAACATTTTCCTGGAACTATTATTTAACCAAGACCTTCTACAGCACTAAAACACACTGCAACTGAGTTCCCGATACAGTTTTAAGAATGCATGGGGTAAAAAAAAGAACAAAAAACCTACCATACCTGCACCAGGAGCTATTTATTAGCATAACACTCTTCCTTTTAAAGATTTCGTAACAACTGAAGTATATACAAAGTCTTACAGCATTTACACAATAAAAAAGTTTCCTATTAGCTGATGAAGTATAAGGTAGTGCTGCAATTTACTTCAAAGCATGTATACAATAATAATGAAGCAGACCACTGTACTTTCAACTTCTTTGCTACCACACCACCACTGTCCGTTGAAATGACAGTTAATTAAACCACTGGGAAGACACAGATTGTCAAAAGATTTGTAACAGGTTGACCTGCAGCACTAACCATCATAGAGAGGAAAGAAGAAAAAATAAAAGAAAAGCTACATACTGTCATGTGTCTACACTTTTCTAGAGCTGTAACAAATTTTCACAGCCTTAGATATAACATATGCAAGACAACATAATCACAATTTTTCAGATATAGATCAGCTACTGAGTGTATTTACTTCTGAATAGGAGGCGTTATATTGATATGGCTGTGTGTTTCCATTTTTGTTCATTAACTGTTCAAATAGGTCTACAAAAAAATTAAAAGACAGCATGGAGTTTGCAGTCATGATGTGTTTGACTAGTAAAGGCATTCAGTATCAGCTATAGGATCTAATTATTCCTGTCAAAAGTTTAAGACCAGGAATCTTTAAGTAAAAACCAAACCCGCAAAATCCCATACCTACACAGTTTTCATTGGTTGACTCCAACCTTCATTAACCTTTTCCAAGAGGGATAATACAAAATCATAATCACCAACCCAAATGCAAGTCTCATTTAGTTTATGAGAGGTCAAGCAGATTCACTAGACTACTTTGGCTGTAAAGCCGAGGGAGCTTACCTAGAAAAAAGAAAACTTTACTGAACAGTCCCTTACTACAAGTAGGGATATATAATTTAACAATGATACATAATTTAAGAACGTAGCATTCTTTGCCTTCTAGAAACAGTTTTGCATGTGCCACTAATGCACTTCCTGCAGGAGATAAGGCTGCTTTGCCTACCGTTGACCGTCTAAACTTCTTGTTTTGGCCAATTTTGCTTTTCTTTCCCCCCAAAGGGATTCAACTTAGAAACTGGTAACATCAGTTGACAATATCTGTATTAAGACAAAAAGTGACATATATAAAATCCACAAGGAACCACATAAATACCAAAGAAGCCATAAAACCTTTCCATGTAAACACTCTGATTATACTGAAGCCCTAATTAGATTCTCGTCTTAAACTTTTGGCAGATAATGTGTATGCTCAGCCAGGCTTTGTAGTTAGTTATTGTTCAAGTGGAAGCCAGGTCAGCTCACATGTTGACAGGCATGCAACTTGGAAACATTGCACAACAAGCAACACAAAGAGATTTGAGAAGTGTACAAGACTTCAAGTAGACTTCACAACCCTTCACAACCGAATATTCACAGACAAAGATACAGTCCTTGCTTTTTCTATGGTGGATTTCTCTCTCTCACACATGGGATACTTTCTGTGACTCTCTAGCTTGCTTGATGCTATATAACCACTTGATGATTCTGGCATTCCTTTCAATGGCAGAAATGCCGTATGGCACACGGTCATTGGCACTGTCATCGTTTCTAAGGTCACTGTTGCTGTCCTGAGACTGTTCACAGTCTGAGCTAATCATGCTTGCACTGCGAAAGTTGAGGGATATAATATCAGAGTTAGCCCTTGCAAAGTTTTCCATTCCGAGGTTTTCAAGCTCTTCAGGATCCAGTCCGCAGTAGTTAAAGAATCGTTCAACATCTGCGTCGACACGAAAGTATCTGTCGCTTAAGTCTGATTTTGATCGCTGTAGGGAGGGTCTTCTACTAACTCCGCATCCAGACTCGACTGCCTCAATCTCTGGGGATTTTAGGGTGGCGATGGCAGCGATTTTGGGCTTTGGAGGCAGAGGTGGGGCTGAACTACTGCAGGGTATTGCTTTTAAGGGCTTTGCACTAGTTACTTTCCTAATGTCTGAGGAGCTGTGAGAGACATGCAAGAAAGTCTCTGCTGACTGATCTAGGAGCCTTCTGCTGACGTTGGAGCTGCTCTCCTGCGGGCTGCTACGGCCCTGCGTGGGGTAAACCTTCAAAGATTCGGCGAATGAATGTCGGTTCAGCTCCGTCGAATCGGCTCTGTGGGGCGGCCAGTTTCGGGGTCCGTGCTTATGCCCCGAACCCGAGCTGGACCCTTCGGAGCTGTTGATGATGTTCTTCAAAATCTCGAGTTTCAGATTTTCCCTCTGGACACCACTCTCGGTCTTTGCATTGTTGCTGAAGACCTTCAAGGTGGGGCTCCCCAGTGCTCGCTTGGCCGCAGGACAGACCGGCGGCTTCGCCAGTACTGCCGGCTTCACGGGCTCCTGCTTGGCGTTGATGACCTCCTGGCTCTTGACATATTTTGCCTTGTCGGCTTCTAGCCTCTCCACCGCGCTC